GACTTTGGTTTTTTTTGAAGACATTTCACTTCTCATCCAAGAAGCTTCTTCAGCTCTGACTGGATGGTGGGGAATGGAAAAATTTATATTTCTGCAGACAGCTGTTCGTTTTTCATTCTTTTAGTGAGCCATTAAAGCTACCTGGAGGCTTAGCTGTATCTTCAGGGTCACCTGAGTAGTGCAAATGGATGTGGAGCCTTCTTGGAACTGTTGAAAGGACTGTGTTGTAGACTGGAGATAGATGATGTCATATCCCTCCCCCTCTTTTGAGAGAGGGCTGTTCAGTTTTGACATAGATGGTCTCTTTGACCCCTCTTTGACCACTATGGACCTTAAGTGGAAGGTTTGGGAATATCTAGAGCAGTGATGGTGAACCTTTTAGAGACTGAGTGTCCCAAACCCGCCCCGCTCTGCCCCCGCCCCACCCTGCCCCTTCACCCTGCCCACTCGCAGGGCCACCCACCGCCTCCATGGCTCACCGCAGCAGATCACCCAGGCGGCTCTGCAGCACCAAGGCGGCCACGCCCTCCGCCTGCACCCGGCAGCATCATCTGCGCGTGATGGGGTGCAAGGGTGGAATCTTGTCCCTGCTGCCCGGCTGCCATGTCCTTGGCTATGCTGCTCCGTGCAGGCCACGCCCGGGGGCAACTCTCCTCCGGGGGGCTGCTGGTGAGGAGGGGGCCATGGGGGAGGCGGGGCTGGGGCAACAGCGCACATGCCCACAAAGAGGGCTCTGAGTGCCGCCTCTGGCATACGTGCCATAGGTTCGCCACCACTGATCTAGAGTTTTGGGAATCTACAAGAATTTTACTGCCAATAAACCACTGTCTCACATCACATTGTGCTTCTTGTTTAGAAGCAAATGAACAAGTGTGAAACACAGAATGTTGCATGCAAGCAGTTTCCAAGGTCAAGAAAGGCTCATATTGCCAGTTGATTTAGAATGAATGTTGAGTTACATAAGTGTTATAAGGGCAGCTGTGAAAGGGAGACAATAAATGTTGACTTGGTAGCATGACTTGATCGAAAGAATTTCCTATGTCCCAGAGTTGTTTCTGTTCCTTTTCTGCCCTGCACTTGTCAACTGTGGGTGTAGAGGAAGAACCAACCCTACAACTGGAGGGCTTTGATGCTACTGAGCTGTGAAGTGTGCTTCCTTTTTGGATTTGCAAGACTCTTGCTAGGCCAGCTGTCCGAGCAGCTGAGTGTAAAACATACCCTTGGCCGTAAGCAGTTTGAGGGTTGCAGTCTGGGTGAGTGGATAGAAATGCTGTGCTTGACAATCTTACATGAGCGCCTTCCTCATGCTGTGGTGATCTCTGAAAATTGAGCCAAGGGGAATTTGCTAGTGTGAGCATACCGGACAAGAGTGCATGGAAAATCCCATTCAGGTGAACTCCTTTTATGGCGCCAAACAAGCGAGAGATCCTGTTTCCATTCCTCCCCTTCTGAGTCTTTCCTTACTCCCCAAGGAAAGCCAAGTTGTAGTTGGAAAGAGTGTTTTTTTCGGGCAGATTTAGGATAATTTTTAATTTGGCCTAGCAAATAAGTCTTGTTTAAATATGTTCTTACGTTGCCCTGCATTTTCATGGATATTAGAGAATTCTGTAGTAAACATGAATAAAGTCAACGATCAGTTGACAATTTAAAACCAGCAGAACAAGAGGAAGAAATTGCTTTGAAAATCAATAAAGGAGAATATTTGTAGTTCCTCTCTGAGCTTGGTTGTTTTCTTGCAGACATTTCATTACCCAAACTAGGTAACATCATCAGTGCTAGTGCAGGCTATTAGCACTGAAGGTTTTACCTAGTTTGAGTAATGATACGTCTACAAGAAAACAGCCAAGCTCAGGTTGCTTTGAATATGTATGGGTGAATATATAAATATCAGTGATCCCACAAAGATTAGCAGGTCAGTGTCATTTCTATTCTCTCTCAGGAGAGAATCCCAAAGCTGGGGCACTGTAGATGACCAGGCGGAGTCCGAGGGCAGGGTCAAATGCATCAACAGTCTGGAGTCCCTATACCCTCCCCAAAGAAAACTACTGTAAGTCAAGCCCCTCCTTGAAGTCCATTGACTTTACTGGCGCCAACTTGACTTGACCATTACTACACCAGATTCTTGGATATAGGTAGCATGGAATAAACCCGTAGTGTTTTTGAGCTCTATCTTGGTTCCTGATTTCTTGTGCCTGACAGGCACCATCACAGAGGAGTTGAGTTACTCCATCAAAAATTCTTTCCTAACAAGCAACTGTCATTACATATAATCTTTTCTTCTGATGCACTGTCCGTATCCTTGCCAACTGATCTCTACATTTTATTATTCAAGGCACACAATTTCCTGCCACTTTTGGCTAGGAAATCAATACAGTAGGTATACTAAGCTTCCATTAGAGTTAATTCACCGAAAATAGTTGGGAGGCAACAGTTCCTGTCTTTGCCTACTAAAGGGATATCATTACATTACAGCTGGACACTGTGGTCCTGAACACAATGTCAAATATAAAATCATTCCTGCCCACAAAAAAGTTCTCACCTCTGCCTTGTAAGATGTGGGGACTTTTTCTCTAGTAGCTCTAGTAAGAAGACAGCATGACCCTGTTTAAAACACATGGTCAAATTGTACTCATTGAATATATTTAAAGAAAAAGTACAGTAGCTCTCAAGGATTAAGACCTAGCGCAGATTATATCAGTCCTTTGAGGTAGACCATGATAAGAAACTAACATCACAAGGAGTACTAGAAATCTGTTCATTATTTGTTGATATTAATGCTGGCTGGGGAATTCTGGGAGTTGAAGTCAGCACATCTTCAAGTCACCACGGTTGAGAAACACTGATGTAGGCAAAAACAACAGAATCTTGAAATCTGTTCATGTTTCCCCTCCCCTCTGTCTCATACAAAAGAGTATCAAGGAGAGACAATCTTGAGTTTCTCTTCACACTGTTTTCCTGGGTTAAATTTGTTTTCCTAGCAGCTGCCACCTACCTCCATACTCCTTTCCAGATTAAGATCTGATCCTGCACTTGTTTCTGGGAAATGGGATGTGTTGTATTCTTCCTATGGGGAAATAGCATGAGGTATGATATATAGCAGGGCTTTTCAACCAGTGGTACGGGTGCCACCTGTGGTACATTGGCACCTGGCAGGTGGTACGCAACCATCCTAGAAAAGTAGCAAGGGAGGGGAATGAGCTGAACCGGTGGCAGCACCGCACAAGCCTGAGTGAGAGATGGCTGGAGCTGCAGGGCTGTCAGGGCTCAGCGGAAGCGCCAGGATCAGTGCTGCTTTCCAGCTGATTGGTGCTTCTTCGGGGCTATCAGGGCTCAGTGGAAGCGCCAGGATCAGCACCAGGCTCCAGCTGGAACTCAGCGCTGATCCTGGTGCTTCTGCTGAGCCCTGAAGAAGCACCAATCAGCTGGAAAGCAGCACTGATCCTGGTGCTTCTGCTGAGCCCAGAAGAAGTGCCGATTGGCTGGAATGTTGCCTTATCTCCAGGGTCTTGTGATTTATATTCAGATGCTTGGCAACTGATTCATATTTATGACGGTCACAGTGTCCCAGAGTCATGTGAAGTGACCAAAACCTGCTGCAATTACTCAGCAGACGGGGGGGAATAAAAACCAAACACCCCCCCACCCCACCCCCGCTGCCAATCCTCAACAGAAATGCTCACAACAATGAAAACCTTGGACAGGAGGAAGAGCGCCGCCGGGTGCTGTCTTGCTCGGCTGTGGCTTGGGGGACACTTTTTTCAGTGCTGTTGTAACTTCGAACAGTCACCAAGCGAACTGTTGTAAGTCGAGGACTACCTGTACTTTATCACTTTTTTCCTTTTGGGGGGGGGTCATCAAGTTTTTGACACCTTGCTAGGCGACTGGTGGTACTTGGATGTTGCCATATCCTAAAAGTGGTACAATGGGTAAAAAGGTTGAAAAGCCTTGATGTACAGGAACAACAGAGAAAAATTCCAACATTTTAGAAATGTTAGTATATTTTAGAGTTTCATGTTCTTGCAGAGTTCTTGCACCAATTCTGCCATAATGGATTATGGAATTTCTCATTCAAGCTAAAAAGCACAAAAGGGTGGAAATTATTGAACTGGAATAACATTTAGTGAATGTTGTCCCCTTTTCCTTAGGCCTTAACCTCTGGCCTAGTTAACTGATACGCTGATTTGACTTAACTGGCAATTTCCAGCATTAAGAAACATAATTATTTTGGGCATGAGAAAAGAAAAACAATTAAGTGAGCAATTGTAACTGTTATAAGCAATTATTAATGGCTACAATTTACTGCTATGATATTGAATAACATGGCAATATTGCTTCCTTTTTACACCGGATAAATATTTTGCCTCTTTGGAGACATCCCATTAAGAAAATCTCCCTGTTTGCCAGAATAAAAGAATTGCTTGTGTCTTCTGAGGCTCTTTGGCTCCAATCTCTTCAACCTTTTGTGCCTCGGACTTGCAGTTTACATTTGTTTTGTTTTTAAAAGTATATTATTCAAAGAACTTGACATGGAATTCATTTGTGTGTATACTCTACCGGGAAGTGTACCATCTGAGCAGTCAGGTTCACTTTATTTATAACGGGCTTTTTTGTTTTTATCAAACCCTTTTGCTTTAGCTTTCTTTGACTCTTACTTAGCCTGCCTGGCTTTAATTATTAAAATAGAAAGGGAAAGTTATTGCATTTTGTTGATCCACATCAAAATTCTTTTTATTTTTGAAATAAAGAAGTTGATAATACAACACGGTGCAGAGATATGAAAATTAAATTTATTAACTTCTATTTCCCACTGGATACCATGTTTTTAATTAAAAGCATTTGGAATTACTGAAAAGCACAAGGGAAGTGATGTGTTTGAATAATGGCACAGGCTAGTATGATATTTGCATTCTTTTTAACTGCTTTGGTATGCTTCGGAGCAAAATGTTAGTTTTTGTCATTAGGTTTTCTTTAAATCTCTTTCTATCCATTTGGCCTTTCAGGCTTCCAAAGCAAAGGTCAGCATCCCTCTCTCAGCTATTATTGAAGTGCGCACAACTATGCCATTGGAGATGCCAGACAAGGATAACACCTTTGTGCTGAAGGTAAGGCAGCATGGCCTGAAAAACATTCCGGATGTGTGTGTTCCATGTATTCTAAATGACACATTCTACAAATTAATACTAAGAGCATCATGCAGATCCTGGTTGACTTGGGTGTGATGGGATTAAAACATTGTGCAAAAGCTTCATAAACTGCAATAATGTTGCTGTAGATCAGGGGTAGTCAACCTTGGCTCTTTTATGATTCGTGGACTTCAACTCCCAGAATTCCTGAGACAGCATGGCTCAGCTTGGAAACCTCTCCCTTTGCCCTCAGCATGGCTGGCTCAGGAATTCTGGGAGTTGAAGTCCACGAGTCATAAAAGAGCCAAGGTTGACTACCCCTGCTGTAGATCAAGTGATTCACATAGGAAATGCTACGGTGGCTGATTTTCAGTTGTGGGCTTTTCATCTTCCTGTAGAGTGGATTGATAACCACCAAGATTTGGACAGAGTCTGAATATAGGTAGCCCCCAACTTACAATCATTCATTTAGTGACCATTAAAAATTACAATAGCACTGAAAAATGTGACCTATAACTAGTGACTTATAACTTGCCTTTACGACTGTCACAGTATCACTGTGGTCACATGATCAAAATTTGGGTACTTAGCAACCGACATGTATTTATTACATTTGCAGCATCCTAGGGTCACATGATCACTACTTGTGACCCCAGACAGCTTCCAATAAGCAAAGTCAATGGGGGAAGCTGGATTTGGTTAACGACCACGTGATTCATTTAACAACTGCAGTGATTCGCTTAACAGCCATGGCAAAAAGGGTTGTAAGATTGGGCAAAACTCACTTAACAACAGATTTCCTTAGCCAGGGAAATTCTGGTCCCAATTGTGGTCATAGGTCAAGGACGTTCTGAATATGCAATTCCACCAAACCAAAGGGCTGCAAAACAGAAGAAGAAATGGGAGAATGTTTAGTTTTGAGTCTATAAGATCTCATTAGTTTCTGGAAATTCTGCCCAACTGTTTCATATCAGCCATGATTCAGCAGAATCTAAATCCAGATCCCTGGATGGATCTTGGCAATTGGCATTTCAGGTTGAATATTTAAGTACATTTGAATATCCTCAATTTTCCTTTTGTGAAGAGGTTTCTTTCCCATGGAAGGAGAAAAAAAGTAGTTTTCTTCAGAGTGGGTGCTCTGTGTGTATCAGAAGACGGATATATATAGGCACTGTAGTCCACTTTCAGCATAAAAATCTAACCTAGGAATGTCCTTCTTATAAGAACTTCTCTTCAGCCCCCTCCCTAAAGAAAAAATCGCCTATGCTTCTCAACCATAGGATTAGAAAGAACTCTGAGGTTTCTGGATTGTCTTTGTCACTTGTATTGTCTTTACTTTTTTGCACTTGCACGGAATTACCGAATACATCACAAAGTTCATAAGCTTCTATATGGAAAAATTATAGATGGCTCCCAAATGTAATGTAGTCTGATGATTTTTCCTTTTTTCTGGACACTTATTTTATTTATTTTATTTTATTTATTTGCTTAGAATGAAGTGGACTGTATCCCCCCAAAAGCATATAGGCTGTGATAAATTTATTAATCCTAACTTGCCAGAAGACTCTTGGCTTTTATTAATAAAGTCTCTCTCTCTCTCTCTCTCTCTCTCTCTCTCTCTCTCTCTCCCCTCTCTCTCCCTCCCTCCCTCCCTCTCCCTCTCCCTCCCTCCCTCCCTCTCCCCCCCTCTCTGTGTATGTGTGTATGTGTAAGAGAGAGAGATGTATTCAGGCTGTGAGCCTCTACACCTAGATCACAATACTACTTAAATTTAAAAACAGGAAATGGAGAGCTGTTTTCAAGCATTTGCCCAGCTCTCGCCCTTCTAGTTTATGCATTTTAATGAGCTTTCCTTTTCCCTTTTCATTAAAATTGCAGCATTGCCTTATAAGCCCCGAACTAACGGGACTGAAAGGATGCCCTGTGGCCTTGGCTGTTACCATAGCAACTGGCCTAGCTGCTGCCTGAGCAGTTTTCTGACAAATCAACAAACTTCTATCCAAGCTCCAGTTTCCAATTCAGGGAGAATAAAAGGGGCTTTTGTGAGGAGCAAGATCCTTGGTGTTTGCTTTGTCTTTAGAAATTTCTGGGCACTGGATTTAATTTCGTTTTCTGTTTTGGGAGCTTCTGAAAAAAACATGTTATGCTGTCTGTCTGAATTGTCTGGAATTCATAGAATAAAAGGCAGAGCCTTCCCCAAGCTGGTGCCCTCCAAATATGTTGGAATTTTATTTTCCATAATTCCCAATCCATGTTTCTTGCTAGCCAGGAATTTTGGGAACTGTTGTGCAACATATTTAGAGTGCATTAGGTTAGAAAAGGCTAATCTAGCAGAAAATGAAATTATTATATTTTTATTTCATCTTTCACATCTATCAATCTTAATTCCTACCAGCCTATCTAGTCTTTGGTGTCTGAAAAGTCAGTCTTTCCTCCTGTGCTCCTTTTATCAATTAATTTGAGTCTGCTAAAATTCAAAGTAAAACATAACATAGTTTAAATAATTATTTGTATTATTATAATGAAATAGTCGAGTGGAAGCCAAACTGTAGGAAAAGAGGCATTGATTTCACTGCACAGCCAGTTCCTGTGCTGGCAATTTATTTGTTTTTAATTCTGCAGAGTTGTAAAGGACAACAGTATCAGTTAATTCAGCCCTCAGTGTTAATTAACATTGACACTGATCCAAGCAAAAAGTTCTTCTGGAGCTGATGCATTAATTAACTTGAGGACATCATTGCTACTGAATATTTTTCATATCTTTTGTTTTGTCCATGTATACAGCAAGTTTATAAAATAGAAAGGAATGGATAAATTTAGTCTGTAAGAGAAGAATGCTGAATGGACATGTTAATAGATAGTTCCTAGTTTCTCTTAGCTTTGGCCACCATATCTGGCTGCAAAAATCTGAATGACCATTGCAAGAAAGCAAAGAGGTATCTATAACCATTCTTGCCATCTGGTGATTGTATTTTTGCAGCCTGTATCTATTAGCCATATATTATTTATGCTGAAATTTCCAGGTACAATTGTAAATCCTCTCTTAAGTGTCTGTAGAAAAGCACCTTGTAAAAAAAAAAGTTAGCGCTACATGTATTTAACATACTTCTTTGCCTGCTAATTGCCTTTCTGTTTGCAAAGAATTTCTAGCATCAGGGAGGTTTCACAAGTGCTCTTCCATTTGCAATCCAAAATGGTACATGCTATTTTATCATCTCTTATGACTCAGTGTTTCTCAATCTCAGCCATTTTAAGATGTGTAGACTTCATTTGAGTTGCTGAGGTTGAGAAATACTGTTCTATGCATAAAAAGTGGCAGATACAGTGGTTGTTAAAGACAGCCCAGATTCAAATCCAATAAAGCTCATTGAATAATCCAGGATAAGTAACCTACCTCATAACTCAGCCCCCTCACAATGTCATTTTGCAATGAACGTGGATAAGTTATGTTACTTTGAATAAAATCTGAATAGAAATGTGATTGTTATTTTATTATATTGTTTGTTTATTACATTTTTATGCCACCCATCTCCTCTATAAGGTGACTCTGTATTTGAGCTAAGGTTGGGCCAACCAGCAAAACAATTGTTGTACTCTTGAAAAGAGACTGAGAGTTTCTGAAGTGAAAAACAAAGTTTTGGAAATAGGTAGACAATTTTCTACCTATTTTCTGCATTTCATAGGATGGGATGGGATGGGATGGGATGGGATGGGATGGGATGGGATGGGATAGGAAGGGACCTTGGAGGACTTCTAGTCCAGCTCCCTGCTCAAGCAGGAGAACCTATACCATTTCAGACCATTCCAGTCTCTTCTTAAAAACCTCCATTGATGGAGCATTCACAACTTCCAGAGGCAGGTTGTTCCACCGGTTAATTGTCCCCACTGTTAGGAAGTTTCTCCTTAATTCCAGGTTGTTTCTCTCTTTGATCAGTTTCCAACCATTGTTTCTTGTCCTGCCCTCTGGTGTTTTGGAAAATAGTTTGACCTCCTCTTCTTTGTGGCAACCCTGGAATACTGGAATACTTCTTTACTGTTATCCAATGATTGTCAGGAACCATTCAGAACAGATTTTATACCTGTTCTCTTATCAGCATTGAGCTGGTAATAGATTTTATACCAGACTAGAGGGAAAGGAGGTACTATATTAAAAATCACTTTTGCTACAGGATCAAAAGTTGGAGATAGGATTCTAGTTTTATGCTACCTTTCTGCTGCTTGCTTAGCTACTCCAACTCTGTTGCTGCCTTGATACACACAAATAGCTCTCTTATTTTCCATCAAGATGTCTGCACAACCCAGGAGAAAATCCCCTCACCCAAGCAGCTGTCAAATACTCTTTCTGTAGCAGAATTTCCTGTTTGCATCTCCTTAAGGTCAAATTTTTCTATGAAAGGCTCACACTTCATAATTAGACATAATGTGGTTTGCTTATTTCTAGTTTAGGAATAGGTGTGAATTCAGTGACCTGCTCCAAATCTTTCTGCAGCTGGGCTGTTGTATTGTGGGAAAATGGTGCATTTTGCATTAAAAGTATCCAAAACATTCGCTTTCTATAAGGTCAGCATGTTCATAAATATTTACATTTTCCATCTAGGTAGAAAATGGCGCTGAATATATCCTTGAAACGATAGATTCGTTACAGAAACATTCCTGGGTGGCGGATATACAAGACTGCATAGATCCTGGGTAAGACGTCATGGTGACTTGATACTGAGCAAACTTAACAAGTGTTGCTGGAATAGCTCTGTGTGGAAAAGAGAATATTTCAGCGGTCAGCAGTAGCCTGCTTTCCAAGGACTTCCTTGGATTTTCTTATCAAGTTATCTTCTGTATTACTTACATTTATCTGGATTTTAAGAACTATGTCAGAGCCATTGCTCTTAGTTTATTACCTTGGAAGATCTGGCAAGTGAGTGCCAATTCATCAAAAAAAAAAGACTGAGTCTTGTTTGTGCATTGCTGTCACTCTATGATGGATTTATTGAGTTCAATACACTTTTCTAACTCCTCCTTTGTAAACTTTTCTCCCAGATTGAAAAAGCCTTATTTTTGGTGATGGTTGAATATTTAGGAAACAATCCCTTTGCTAACTATTTTAAATGGGTGTTATTTTGCGTTATGCTGCCAATATTTAAGTATTTATTTTCTTTTGTAAAGCTCTTTTTGGAAAGGTAAATGTGCAGAATAAGAGTAGAAACCTTTTTTGGCCATTTAGGCACATTTTAAAATATTGAGAGTGCAATGGGTATGATCAAAAATGGCTTTCAGAGAGGACCTACTTATTTGCAGAAGTAACACTGGTGGGTGTAGCAATCACAAAATACTCATTTATGAGAAGGCAAACTTATTGAGGTATCTTCTCAGGACTCTTATTAGCTCCCATTATGCTTTTTACCATTGCCCTATTATTTTTGTTTTTTTTCTCTGGGCAGGTGGATAGCTTTGAAACAAAGCCCTAGGCCAGGGGTAGGCAACCTTGGCTCTTTTATGACTCGTGGACTTCAACTCCCAGAATTCCTGAGCCAGCCATCCTGAGGGGAAAGGGAGTTTCCAAGCTGAGCCATGTTGGCTCAGGAATTCTGGGAGTTGAAGTCCACGAGACATAAAAGAGCCAAGGTTGCCTACCTCTGCTCTAGGCTATGGCTAGCTAGAATTTTTGTTTTGGCAGGCTTTATGAGGTTCAGAAACTTCCTCGAAATATAAACAATGACATTTGGCTTAGCCATTTGGCCAGCTAACCATTTAACTTTTAAAAAATTAAATAGACCCATTTATTTTTTAAAAAATTGGAATTCAAAAATACAAGGATTACTGCAGCAAAAATTGTATTTTGCAAGTAGAATAGTACTTATTGCTTCCTTCAACTGTGTAAAGTTGGGGTGACTGGCTTTTGGTAAGCCCCTGCCTTTCTTTTGTGAATTCTATAGTTCTGGACTAGTTAGGTATACTAGGGCTACTGTATTTGTTGAAAAAAATTGCACCATCACTAAAAGGCAGCAGAGAACTACAGGAAACTCTTCTCAGCCATTGTCCAAATTTGCAGTTTAGATCTGGTAGCCGTGTACAGAAGTTCTCCCATTCACTTCACAGCATTTAACAAAAATAAAAGGATCAAGTTGAAGTCATGGTTAGAATGGACAATAATCTCTTCTAAAAAAAAAGCTTCACAAAGCTGTAGGCAGTTTGCTGTAGTTTCAATCAATAGTGATTATCTGATGCACTGACATAAAACCTGCATTGATTGGCTGAAAGGCAAACACACAGTGTTCTCATATGGAGAGCCAGCAGGTAGCCTTTTCTGCTCTTATCAAGCCTCTGAAGAAGCTGATCTCCAAATACTAGTTGATTTAGGGTGTTCTATACTGGAAAAAGGAAACACACTGCTAATATATTTTTCCTTCTGTCTGCACCCATTGGGAGTTTTCTTTGTCACAATGTTACGCTATCTTTTAAAATGTACCTGCATGCTATACTATTCCTTAGTTTGCTGTCTTAGAGTTTGTGGGGAATTGTGGCATTGGTTTTCAGTAGTTATGGTCAGAGGAGACTGCAGTAAAAGTTAAAATTCACTAAATTTCGGGGGCCCATCCTTGACCTAAAAGCTATTTTTTCCTGGAGCCGTGTGATTGAATATTCTGAGAGAATGACAAACTTATTCCAATTTGGCAGGAGTGTTATTAGCCATCATAGTAAGGATTAGAAGTTCAGTGTCCTGGGTTGCCAACTGTTAGGGTCAAAGTATAGGATAAAACCTCTGTACTTATGACTACGTGTGACCTATTTCTCCCAACTCTCCCAAAGGGGAGAAGAGTGCTTTGATATTGTCAGATCTCCATTTTAACTTTTTGTAAGAGTCAGCAAGGGAAGGAAAAAAGTGGTAAGCATATTTTTAACTGCTCTGCTGCCCCCTTTTTTATGTGCTCAGGTCTCCCCACAGATGGGCTAAGCTATAACTCCTCCTGCCATTATACCATCACCATATATATCAGGGGTGTCAAACTCAATTTCATTGAGGGCGGCATCAGCATTGCAGTTGCCCTCGGGGTGTGTGGCTAGGGTGGGTGTGGCCTACTGGGTAGGCGTGGATGGAAAGGGTGTGGCCTACTGGGTGGGCGTGCCCAGCTCTACATCATTCACGTCAAGGGTGCCTGTGGGGGCCTGGGCAGGAGTGGGACAGATCTGAGGGTCTCTGGCAGAAGGGGGTGGGACCAGGGCAGAGCCCATCAAGCCGGATATGTGAAGTAGGCGAGGGCCATTTGCTGGCCACTTCCAGGCGATGGTGCATTTCTTCATTCCTCACAAAGGGTGACACCTCCCCAGCATGCACCCAGGGGGCGGGGCCGACGCGGCAGGGGCTGGTTCCTCGCTGGTTCCAGATGGCCTTGTGGAGCTAAGACTGAATGCATTTCAGCATAGATAGCCATCACAAAATTGTACATTGGCTCCCGGCCGGCCTGGGCCAGGGCCAAGGCAGCGGTGCCCGTTCCCTCACTGTTTCCAGGATGGCTTTGCAGGCCACATGAAACCACTTCGCGGGCCGCATCCGCCCCCGGGCCTTGTGTTTGACATGTGTGATATATATGAACCAAGATAATATTCCTCCAGATTTGGGAAGGGTTAGCCTTCCCTCTCACAGTCCTGATTTATGGGGTGAAAGTGAGTTAGTGAATGACTAAGTAGAGAGTGGAGAGTTTTCCCATATGCAGGTCTGAAGAGATGTAGCAGCATTCAAAAGGTTCTGGCCCTTTAGTAAGATTACAAAATACATGTTTTATGGGAATCCTCTCCAGTTGGTGAATGATAACTTTGCACCCCTTCCTCTGCTTTACCCTTCCTTCCAGTGTTCAGCACACAGCTGCAGAAACTCACTGGTGCAGCACCATCCACTGTCCAAACGCCCACTCTTCTCTTCTTTCCAGGGACAGTGGTGATGACATTGAACTCTCTTCCTGTACTCAAGGAGCTTGCCTGCCAAGCAGAGTGTCGTCTTGTAGCTGTGAGTTCCTGGCTGATGGTAATAACATTTTATTTTTATTTTATTTTTTTTTTAAAAAAAGGGTTGTCTTAAAAATTGGTTCAGACCTCTGTTATTTTGTTTAAACACTGCTTTTGTTTAAAGTTTAATTTTCAGGTACCTACACATACCTGAATTTTGCCAGTCTCCAACTGGAGGCATTGATTTTTACTGCAGCAGAACACAAGTGATATGAAAGAGCCTGGGGCATTCATGAATTTTCTTTTTGTCTTATGATCCCTGGTTCAGCAGGTATCTCAAGCATCTGAAAGAATACCTTGAAAAAAAAATGTAGTGAAGGAAATGATTATTTGAAGCAATTGGCAGCCTTGAGTCTATAAGTCCACTGTCATAGGAAAATGTGGTTTGGAAAAGTAGCATGCATTTTTTAAAAAAGAAAATAAAATTATCTTCCAGATGTCACCCGGTGCCAGGATAGGTGTGCTGGCTCAGCTGCCTCAGATAGCATATCAAATGCTACCACAATTGTAACAGCACCATATGGTAGGATCTCTGCAGGGGAATATAGAGCGCATGTGCCATTAGAGAATTTCCTGCAGACATTGGAGTCTCCAGCCAACAGGAGTCACACAGCAGGTATAGTAGTTCTGTTCCTCAGATGATCTGGAGCTTATGTTTTTCACAGTTTAGAAAAGATCACCTGTTTGTTCTCCCATCCAAAAAATATGTTTCTGCTTCTTTGTAGATATATTGATAACAATGTGTATGTTACACAGTATTGAATCATGCATGTCAACAATTAACAATTCAGCTAAAGTTATGTTTTGTTATTAATGCTCATTATTTTCTCAAATTCTTAGCAATTTCAATGTTGTTCCAATTATTTATGACAAATAGATTAGGAGCAGCTTGAAATCCTGAAGTGGCTGCTAAGTGACACTAGGTTGTAATAATGAGCTAGATAGGCAAATAGTCTAGAATAGCAAGCATATTCATAAGAGTTGGACAGGCTTACTTAAACCTTCAAGTCCAACTTCAGCTTTGTACAGTAAAGCAATATAAAATGAAATAAAAACATTTTGACAAATTGGCTTTTGTAATGAGTAAAGTTGGTAATGTAGACTACTATGATTCTCAGGCTAGAGAGAAACATTGCAACATTGCTTGCCTATCAAGGCTATCAAGAGAACAGCCCAGAAGTTAGGAGGAAAAAAGTCAAGTATGTAAATCATGGAGTGCAGATCCTTATGTAGCTTATATAGTTAAATACCTGGAAAGCTGAGATTTACAACCCAACATGAAGCCTGACAACTGTGTAATGTGCATATGATGATAATGTGCAAAGAGAATTTCATCTCTTCAGGCACAGTTGAACTTCTCATATTGCTAGAAAGTTTATTTGAATATTATTTTCGTCTTCTGTTATATTATTTATCTTACCCAATTTTATGTCATTTTCACATTTGATAAGCATTCTCTCCATCTTTTCATTCTAGTCGTTAATAAAAATGTTGAAGAGTACGAACTGCAGAAGTGAATTTTGTGGCACTCTATTGTGGCAGTTTGGCGATGCTTTGTAGTTTTTGAACTGGTTGTAAAAACATCTTATAAACATACCATCCATTCCATATTGAACTGAATATCATTGTCGGGTGCCTTCCTGAAATCAAGGTTTTGTCCATAGCATTCCTGTAGGGGATATTAAGCAAGTATATTAAGCAAATATAAGATACAGATAACTTAGTAAGACTTGTTTTTCATAAGTCCATGTTGTCTTCTGTAAGCACCTCTTTGTTTCTATAGGTGCTCAGAATTTAATCCTGAGGTAATCCTCAACATACGACCACAATTGAACCCAAAATTTCTGTTGCTAAGTGAGACATTTGTTAAGCCAATTTTTCCCCATTTTATGACATTTCTTGTCACAGTTGTTGAGTGAATCACTGCAGTTATTCAATTAGTAGCATGGTTGTTAAGTGAATCTGGCTTTCCCCCTTGACTTTACTTGTCAAAAGGTTGCAAAAGGTGATCAGATGACCCAGGGGCACTACAGTTGTCATAAACATGAGTCAGTTGCCAGGCATCTGAATTTTGATCACGATGGGGATGCTGCAACAGTCATGTGAAAAATGGTCATGTCACTTTTTTCAGAGATGTTATAACTTTGAGTGGTCACTAAATGAACTGTTGTAAGTCAAGGACTACCTGTATTTGGTCTAGTGCTTTCCTAGGTTTCTGAGGGTTCTGTAGTTTCCTGAATTCTTTTTTCCCCCTCTCTTTTTAATTGTAGAAAAATTGCCCTTCTCTATTCATTTGGCATTTCACTCATTCTCCATAATTTTTCAGAGATAATGTACAAAGGTTTATCCATCTCAGTTTTTGATCCTGCTCCTCACAATTTTTCATAACTGTAGGCTGGAGAAAGCTGAGCTCCAATACAAGTTTAGTAGTCTCATCTTTCTAATCTATTTGCAGTTTTTTTAGCACTGGGAATTAGAATACTGTTTGCTTTTAAATAACTCTGTTCTTCAATTGCTACATCAACAAAAGTTAGCCCTCCCAGGTACACCAGAAAGGAAACAGGATTATATTTATTTATTTTATTTATTTATTAATTGCATTTATATCCCGCCCTTCTCCTTACGGACTCAGGGCGGCTGACAATTGAATAAAATACTAACATATATACATATACTTAATTAAAATTTGATTAAAACGAAATATTTAAATATGTCCAATTTAAAAGTAATTAAAACCCCCTTTAAAATCCCTCAGGCCAGTCCCGCTAGTTGGAACAGCCACGTCTTGAGGGCGCGGCGGAAGGAAGGGAGATCAGGGATCACCTGATCTAATTCTGCTTTATTGTAAGGCTATGTTATCAGAATCTTGCAAATCACTGCTACTTTTAACTGCTTGATCCACTAGGGCAGACCCTTCCTAAATTTCTTTCTTTGGTTATTAAGCCACTGGGGGCTCCTGCATCTCTTGTCTGATGGTTTCCTAGGCAGCATCTCTTCCCCTCATTCCCCAAGGTCATCTACACATTCCATTGCAACAAATGATGTACGTTAAATCATTTTGACTTCCTGTGCTATGAGTTTAAGCTCATCTCGTTTATTTCCCATATGGTAACAATGTATAGACCCTGAAAGTGATTACATTTATAAGCCAATACAATGTTTCTTGAGATTTTTCACTAAATGGGCTAATCGGGAATATCCTCACTTCTTTTTACAGTGCCAAAATCATTATCCAAGGTCCTTATTTCAGGAGTTTTATCTTCAATCCCCACAAGAATCAGTTTAAATCCCTCTTAATCAAGTTTAATGTGCTTTGGCCAACACCATCTGCCCAGTCCTCATGAGGTATAATCATCTCCTGCCAGTAGTTTTTTGTTCAGAAAACTCAGAGTCAAGTTACAGGAGAAGATAATTGTCAGTGGAATTGATAAGACTTAAAGATAATTCTATAATAGTTAATCTTTGGTTCTGACAGACACTTCCTTCTTTGAGCTATAAAATCAGTCAGCATATTTGTTCCATGTAGTTGTAAGTTATCAAGTACAAAGACTTTTTTCAGTGTCTTCTTGCAAGCTAGTTACACAGATACACCCCTATTCAATAGCATCACTTTTTCTGTTATCGAAGACTTCAAACCTGTTTGTTTTCTGCAAAGACCTCAAAGCTATTTATGGTGCATAATATCTTCTATGTATTTCCAATTATTACTCCCATTTTGCTGCTTTGTTCAGTTTTTCTTTATAAAGGGATGTTTCCTCTCTCAATTCTTATTGTAATAATTTTTTATCCTTTCTTATGAGCTGAAGTGTTGCCGTTACCTGCTGCAATCCCTGCCCTTTTTATTTGTGCACAGCTGCAAGTTTATACTTGCTGCATATGTATAACACATTGTTTTTAGGCACACATTTCAGGCATGAAGGTCATAATTGTGAAGTGTGTCCATTCTCTTCATTTCTGTTTTTTAAAGTCTACAGGTAGAAAGATGTAGGAGATGACCAGGCTGAGCCCAAGGGAGGGGTCAAACGCGTCATCAGTGTCGAGTCCCTTTGCATCCACAAGAGATCTAAGTCCAGCCCACCTTGAATTCCTTTGACTCTTATCTATCACCAATTTGCTTTGACTGTTAGTAGTTCAGATTCTTGTCAAGAGCATGAGCTTGCAATAAACCTTTATATTCATTTTAAACGGCCTGGAGTTCCTGATTTTCTTGACAAAAGGCTTTTATTTCTTCTTGCTCCAGTTTCAGGTTGAATACCTACTGACCACGTAGAAGAAAAATATGTTAGGAAAATCCCTATTAAGCTCCCCGGTCAAATTCCTGTTAGCTTTCTGTTTGTTCATTATTTGAAAATGAGCTGCCTTATATTCTTTCAGCAGCAGCAGCAGCTTCTGCTTGTTGAGTGACTTGCAGGAAGCATTCACACAGTCATCCACCATGAGTATCAACAGTTCTCTGACATACCTTTGCCATTACCAATTATGCAGGAGATAATCTTTTCATTCCCCACAGTGGAACACACATACCCTAAGAAAGCAATTCTTTTTTATCTCTTTCCCCCTTCTGCTGAATTCCACAACCAAGCTCCTACTGGCTCTCTAATTAGCTCTTCCAGATATATAGTGCACTGATTTATACTCCAGAGTTGTTATGTGTACCTCTAAATAATTTGATCTGCAAAGTAGAAAAGTATGCACTGTAATGTACATACAGACATATTTGATTCGCTGAAAAGATAACATTAGCCATATCTCTTTGCTGAAAGAGCATTCAGGTATAAACATATATTGGTCTTGGTAAGTGGGAAAATCTACAATAATTTCTCCTGCATCCTCTACTCAAACATCCCTCCAGACAGCACTGCAATGAATGTAATGCTGTGTTAAATGTCAGGCATTCAGGTTTTGTATTTTATTCTTCCTGTTTCCTTAACTGTGACAGGAGATGAAAATGAGCTGGAAGCAGAAATCAATCTCTTGGAGTTTCCTTGGTTCCATGGGACACTATCGCGGGTTAAAGCAGCCCAGCTAGTACTCTTTGGTGGAGTCAAAAGCCATGGCTTATTTGTCATTCGGCAGAGTGAAACACGGCCTGGTGAATATGTGCTAACCTTTAACTTCCAAGGAAAAGCCAAGGCAAGTGATCTTTATTTATGAATGGATAATTTATATTTTCTTCTAGTATTTAAAGTGAAACCACAGGAAATATGGGGGCATGTTTCCCTTAGTTTTTAACCTACCTTGAAAATTAAATCATCTGTTCAAAGGGCTTTAATGGAACATGGCAGCAAGCTTGAATACAGTTATAAAATAAGAAGTAAAAAAACCATAGAAACCACCAACTACTTTGACCTGGGTGCAATGTTCCCTGATAGCCAGTTGAAAGAAAATTGGCAAGATGCTAAGCTCACATATCGTGTTTGTTTGATTTTAGCTTAATATACTCTATAAACCCAGCCAAAAGTTTAATCTGGGAACCAGATTATGTGTAGTTTATTCATTTCTTCAGGAAAGGGGGGATGTTAGGAATGACAAAATTTGCCTTAAAACGCAGTGGAGTTTGTGTCTGTGCTCTGGCAACAACTCTTTGTGATTGTATATTTGTGTGTGCACAAAACAGATACAATGCTGGATTTTTGTATCCATATGCCAGATCAACACAGACAGAGTGTTCTCTTGTTCTTTTCTTTTGCTGCCATCTGGAATTTTTAAAAATGTTTTAAAATAGCAGCCCTTTATACATTTGGTGTCTGTTCTTTGATTGGTGCTTGTAAACAGATTCATTCTTCTAATCCAGCATATTGGATATATATCTGCCAATCTTATGCTTCCTGTGAAACCTTTTATTTCTCCCAGCTAAAACTGGAAACAAGCTGTTGCTATGTTATAAAAATTTCAGCTTATAATTATCATTGCCCCCTCTGTAACTACCTGAGTCACAACTCTAAGTGCACTGCATAAAGAGATGCAACAGATAGCCACATTATTCTCTTCATATCTCTGGACTGGAAGGTGCTGACACAACTGAGTACAATACAAAGAAGCAAAAAAAATATCTTTACCTGTTACACTTGCCTATAGGAGCTAATTGGAAGAAAGTAAACAGTATTACTTCTTCTCTGCAGTTGGTGATGTTCCTATACATACAGTATACAAACAGTAGTGCCTCCAGATCCTCTAATGCCCATCAAAATCAAATCCAAGTATAGAATGGAGAATATCTGCCTTGGCAATACTTGTAAAAAGGATACTGGACTAGTAGCTGATGATAAACTGAACACAAGTCAATAGTATACAGGGTGGATTTGATTAAATCAAATCGATTTAAATCACGATTTAAATCACTAGTAAAAAGGCTTGATTTAAACCAACTCGATTTAAATCAACTCGATTTAAATCATAATTTTTAAAGAGCAACTGTCATCTCTGCCCTGCAGCAGCTCCTCTGACCCACCGTTGACTCACTGACAGTCCCATTCACTTTAATGGGATGGCTGGTGATGCGGCAGTGACACAACAAGGTGACGGACGTGGCTGGCAGCAGGTGAGTGGATGCTCGCTAACAGGTGCTGCCATGATGGATCTGAAATGACAGGTGCTCTTTAGATGTAAGGACTCATTCTTGTTGGTAGTTAGAATCTTTAATATTATTATTTGCAAACAAAATGAAGGTTTCCTATTTAGAATAATAAGCTGTCAGGTTAGTAAAACAGCGATATCAGAACCGATTTTAGGTTAATAAGTTAATCACACATAGTTGGAGAACTACTCAAATTCTTTATTTAACTAAAACACTTAGAGCCTGGTACAGATGCATTTCTCTTCAAACAATCATATAGTTTGTAGTGTACATAGATTTGCAAAACAATGGGATAAAGGGATATTCCTGAACTTTGTTTTATGATTTATCTCATGGCTACTGTGAAATTGTGTGAATGCATCAACGCAGTGCATGTTATCTCAGCTTGCAGAGCTTGGATTCATTGAATGAGTTTACCAAAAATGTAAATATTGCAGAATACATAGCCTCATGCTACAGAACTACTGTAAGCTCCATTTCATGCTGAATAAACTAAATTATTAATGTATCTTAAATAGAAAACTGTCTTTAGATAGATTTTTACTCCAAAAGCATTTCATTAAAATAAATTTGATAAAAATTAAAAAAAAATCTGACTTAAATAAAAAATCCAATTTAAATAAAAAAATCGATTTTTTTATTTTTTATTTTAAAAATCATTGATTATTATCCACTCTGGAGGTATGATATGATTACTAAAAAGACAAAGGCAAGTTAGATTGCACCAACAGAGATATTGTTTCCTAATCATGCGAATTAATAATTCCACTTTATGGAATTGTTTTATAGNATCTGACTTAAATAAAAAATCCAATTTAAATAAAAAAATCGATTTTTTTATTTTTTATTTTAAAAATCATTGATTATTATCCACTCTGGAGGTATGATATGATTACTAAAAAGACAAAGGCAAGTTAGATTGCACCAACAGAGATATTGTTTCCTAATCATGCGAATTAATAATTCCACTTTATGGAATTGTTTTATAGCCATATGCGACCTTCTGTATTATGCTCATTTGTGTGCATAGTACTAATAATAATTCAGACAAGTGATCAGAGGACTGGAAAACTAAATTGTACAGCAAGAGATTGAGCCTATTCAGTTTGTTTCTAGCTTTGAGAAAATAGGGTTAAAAGGGATATGATGGCCTGAATAGTCCATGATCTCTTCTCTAACATTCCAAGTGCAAAACATGGAATGTAAGCATTAATGTATAGGCAGGCAGATTCCTATTTAACATTTAAAAAATTTTAACAATAAGAAGGGTGTAACAGTGGAGTACGTTCTTGTATGTAACCCTTGATGTTACACTGAACGTTATGATGTTACATTGAGCTTGAATGTAGTAACCATCCCGTAGACCTCCGAAATTTTCTTCTCCAGCGGTGTCCCATACATTAAATGTAATGGGAACTCTATTAGTGTGGAACACACGGAGGATGAACTTCAGTTCTCAAAGCAGCTAAATACTTTTTCTCAAATTCGCCAGTCAAGTGGCATTTCACAAATGTTGTTTTACCAGTAACACCATCACCAAGCAAAACTTAAACTGCATTTGGGGTTCTACTTACAGTGCGGCCGTGCTGCGTTTCAAAAGAAATGCAAGAAAGGAAAAGAGAGCCGTGCTCGGACACCCCCCTCCCTCCCTACCTACGTGGGGCATATAAGTAAGAGTAAATTACCTATTGAGACGGAGGAAGTATCCCTTTTTCAGGATACATTCAAGCAGAGGCTGAATAGCCATCTGTGTAGAGTGTTTTACTCCTGCACTGAGTAGGAGTTGAATTTGATTGCCTAAATAGTCCAACTTTATGATTATTATACGAATAGGATTATAAAGGAAATGGTAAGGCAAAAAACAAATCAAACTGCTGCAAAGATTATTTATTGGGGGCATCCGTCTCTGGTACTTCATGTGTTAAAATAGTTCTCAAATGCTTAGAACAGGGACAGTGGTAACCAGTCAGTAAAAATAATTAATTCTCTTTTCAGCACCTGCGTTTGTCCTTAAATGAAAATGGTCAGTGCCATGTCCAACATCTTTGGTTCCAGAGTATTTTTGATATGCTGCGGCATTTTCATATGCATCCCATCCCACTGGAGTCAGGTGGTTCTGCTGACATAACCCTCCGCAGCTATGTAATGGCCCAGAGCCCATTGCCGGGTGAGTCAAGTTCTCATACTTGCAGTTTTATCTTGTAACTGGGCAAAACAAAGAATAAAAACTTCTCAAATATTTGAGGCTTATTTATATTCTTGTGCAAAAAACTAAAAACTTGATCAGTGGATGGAAATAGAAGTTTTACTGAATTAAGAAATACTCAAAAGGAGTTACCCATTATTTGAAATTATTTCACAGCATGCATGCATACACACACCTATTCATATTCAGCATAGTATTCACTTTCAGGATAAAAAACATTATGCAGAATTCAGAAAAAAAAATGAAAAGTAACTGGCAAAAAAAAGTTAATGCAGAACATAAGAGACAAAGAAACTAAACCTATACCATTCACTCTTTATTCTTTTAGTCCTTGCAAATCATTGTTGCATCTTCTATGCTCATACAAAATTTATACGCAAGTAGTCCTTGACTTAGAACCACAGTTGGAACTGGAATCTTGGTTGCTGTACGGTGCAGTCGTTAAGCAAGTCATCAAAAGCCCAGACTCATTTTTGCAATCATTTTTATCATTGTCATTAAGTGAATCACATAGTTGTTAAGCAAATCTGGCTTCCCCAATTGACATTGCTTGATGGAAACAACCAGATTTGGGACCAGAAAGGTCACAAGCCACAAACCAAACCACAACTACAGGAAGCTGAAACTGATCATAAATTTGAGCTGATTGCCAAATGCCATATTGCAATTACATGCAATTTCACTTGTCATTTCTCCTTTGTAATGAAAACCATAATTGCATTCTTTGGATCATCAGGGACAGATGCAGTTTTCACATATGTGTTAAACGAGTCATATAATTACTTTGTAAGCAGACGACATCCATATTTTAACATTTTTTCTAGTTAAGGTCAACACATGTTGTGATAACTCCTTGGTTGGTTTACTGTAACATACTGTCTGTGGGATTGCCTTTGGAGATAATGTGGAAACTGCAGCTGATAGAGAATGGGACTCTGGTTCAAACTGCTGATTACCACCTATAAAACCCTCTACAGTATAGTATCAGAGTATATCAGGGCCTTATGGCTCAGCAGTTAAAGACACTGAGCTTGTCACCTGGAAAGTTGACAGCCCAGATTCGAGATCCAAGCACCGCATGATGGGGTGAGCTCCCATTACTTGACCCAGCTCCTGCCCCCCCTAGCAGTTCAAAAACATGCAAACACAAGTAGGTAAATAGGTACCACTTCGGTGGGAAGGTAACAGTGTTCTGTGCACCTCNATCTGACTTAAATAAAAAATCCAATTTAAATAAAAAAATCGATTTTTTTATTTTTTATTTTAAAAATCATTGATTATTATCCACTCTGGAGGTATGATATGATTACTAAAAAGACAAAGGCAAGTTAGATTGCACCAACAGAGATATTGTTTCCTAATCATGCGAATTAATAATTCCACTTTATGGAATTGTTTTATAGTCATATGCGACCTTCTGTATTATGCTCATTTGTGTGCATAGTACTAATAATAATTCAGACAAGTGATCAGAGGACTGGAAAACTAAATTGTACAGCAAGAGATTGAGCCTATTCAGTTTGTTTCTAGCTTTGAGAAAATAGGGTTAAAAGGGATATGATGGCCTGAATAGTCCATGATCTCTTCTCTAACATTCCAAGTGCAAAACATGGAATGTAAGCATTAATGTATAGGCAGGCAGATTCCTATTTAACATTTAAAAAAATTTAACAATAAGAAGGGTGTAACAGTGGAGTACGTTCTTGTATGTAACCCTTGATGTTACACTGAACGTTATGATGTTACATTGAGCTTGAATGTAGTAACCATCCCGTAGACCTCCGAAATTTTCTTCTCCAGCGGTGTCCCATACATTAAATGTAATGGGAACTCTATTAGTGTGGAACACACGGAGGATGAACTTCAGTTCTCAAAGCAGCTAAATACTTTTTCTCAAATTCGCCAGTCAAGTGGCATTTCACAAATGTTGTTTTACCAGTAACACCATCACCAAGCAAAACTTAAACTGCATTTGGGGTTCTACTTACAGTGCGTCCGTGCTGCGTTTCAAAAGAAATGCAAGAAAGGAAAAGAGAGCCGTGCTCGGGCACCCCCCTCCCTACCTACCTATGTGGGGCATATAAGTAAGAGTAAATTACCTATTGAGACGGAGGAAGTATCCCTTTTTCAGGATACATTCAAGCAGAGGCTGAATAGCCATCTGTGTAGAGTGTTTTACTCCTGCACTGAGTAGGAGTTTAATTTGATTGCCTAAATAGTCCAACTTTATGATTATTATACGAATAGGATTATAAAGGAAATGGTAAGGCAAAAAACAAATCAAACTGCTGCAAAGATTATTTATTGGGGGCATCCGTCTCTGGTATTTCATGTGTTAAAATAGTTCTCAAATGCTTAGAACAGGGACAGTGGTAACCAGTCAGTAAAAATAATTAATTCTCTTTTCAGCACCTGCGTTTGTCCTTAAATGAAAATGGTCAGTGCCATGTCCAACATCTTTGGTTCCAGAGTATTTTTGATATGCTGCAGCATTTTCATATGCATCCCATCCCACTGGAGTCAGGTGGTTCTGCTGACATAACCCTCCGCAGCTATGTAATGGCCCAGAGCCCATTGCCGGGTGAGTCAAGTTCTCATACTTGCAGTTTTATCTTGAAACTGGGCAAAACAAAGAATAAAAACTTCTCAAATACTTGAGGCTTATTTATATTCTTGTGCAAAAAACTAAAAACTTGATCAGTGGATGGAAATAGAGGTTTTACTCAATTAAGAAATGTTCAAAAGGAGTTACCCATTATTTGAAATTATTTCACAGCATGCATGCATGCTTACACACACCTATTCATATTCAGCATAGTATTCACTTTCAGGATAAAAAACATTATGCAGAATTCAGAAAAAAATTTGAAAAGTAACTGGCAAAAAAAGTTAATGCAGAACATAAGAGACAAAGAAACTAAACCTATACCATTCACTCTTTATTCTTTTAGTCCTTGCAAATCATTGTTGCATCTTCTATGCTCATACACAATTTATACGCAAGTAGTCCTTGACTTAGAACCACAGTTGGAACTGGAATCTTGGTTGCTGTACGGTGCAGTCGTTAAGCAAGTCATTAAAAGCCCAGACTCAATTTTTGCAATCATTTTTACCATTGTCATTAAGTGAATCACATGGTTGTTAAGCAAATCTGGCTTCCCCAATTGACATTGCTTGATGGAAACAACCAGATTTGGGACCAGAAAGGTCACAAGCCACAAACCAAACCACAACTACAGGAAGCTGAAACTGATCATAAATTTGAGCTGATTGCCAAATGCCATATTGCAATTACATGCAATTTCACTTGTCATTTCTCCTTTGTAATGAAAACCATAATTGCATTCTTTGAATCATCAGGGACAGATGCAGTTTTCACATATTTTTATTTTTTATTTTTATTTTACATGGATTTATATGCCGCCCTTCTCCCTATAGGACTCAGGGCGGCTTACAGCATATTAAAACACATAAAACATCGTCCCCCCATAAAAACCTATTAAAAACCAAATATTTTTTTCGCTGTATAATTAATTAAGATTTAAATTAAAATTGTCCCTATTTAAAAATTCTCCCTAGGCCAGACCCGCTTGTTG